AACTTAACAAGACTCTGGTTAAAATAAAATTTAAAAAACAGAGTGAGTATGTAACTCAGTAATTCCTGGTTTAAATCCCAAGTACCACAAAAAAGAAAAGAATAAATAAAATATATTACTTAATCTGTATACTCATTATTTCCATTTTCAGTTATGAACTCTTGGAAGTAGTTTTTCCCACTTCTTAGGACATATTAAGTGGATGTCTGCCGTGATCCAGGCACTGTTCTGGGCGGTGTTGGGATCTAATAATGAGCCAAACTGACAAAAATTCCCCTTCTACACAGGAAAGCAGACAATAATGAATAAGTAAGTAAAACATGTATGCAGTATGTTAGTAATAAGCTGTAAGGAGACAAGCACAGTAGGTTGCGCTTTGAAATCAGGTGGTTAGGAAGTGCCTTATCAAGAACGTGCCAGTTGAGTAAGGGTATGAAGGAAGTGAGGGGTGAGCCAGGTAGACACCTGAGGAAAGAGATTTCTAGGTAGGAGAATCAGCCCGTGTTAAGGCCCTCGGGTGGGATCTTGTCTGGAGTGTGTATGGAAAAATGAGGAAGCAGTGTGGGTGTGCAGGCTGAGTGAGGGTCAGAGTAGCAGGGAATAGGACACAGAGGTGATTATATGAAACAAGGTTTGTGCAGAGCAGAGAGGGCATTGAAGACCATCGAAGGACTGCGGCTTCTCTGCAAAATGAGAAGCCAGTGGAGAGTTGTGAGTGAAGGCTGAGTGGTCAGGGAGCTAATGAAAAGTCTTTATTAGTGATTGCTTCTGTTATCCCATGGAGAGTAAGGAAGAGGTGGACACATTGGAAGTTTAACAAGAGAGAAGATGTAAAATAATGGAATCAGGAAATAAGTATTTTTGCTGCTCAGCATTGAAGACATGAGGTTGAGCATTAAAGACATGAGGTTGATGATCATGAATTTAAAGTGAGATTGGGCAACCTAATTATGTTTTTTGTCCAACTATGTTTAGCTGCAGAGGAACAGATGAAGAGTGAGTGGTAGATTGTACTTGATCTTGTTTTAGTACCCTTACCTCACAAGTATGGGTCCATAAATAATATATACTATTATATTGTTTGAAAAACACATGTGAATGGCATATCCTATTGCAAGTTGATTTTTTAACTCTTTTTTTAGTTATAAATGGACATAATATTTTTATTTTATTTATTTATTTTTATGTAGTGCTGAGGATGAAACCCAGTGCCTCACGTGTGCTAGGAAAGTGCTCTACCACTGAGCCACAACCCCAGCCCCACAAGTTGTTTTTTTAATTTGACTTATTTTTCAAATTTATCCAATTTGAAATAGTTTATTTATTTTGGTGCTGAATAATATTCTTTTATATAAGTTATCCAGTTTATTTATCCATTTTTCTACTGAGGTACACTTAAGGTTGTTTCTGTCCTTCTCTGTTACAGGTTTGTATTTTTTCTCATGTTAATGATTTGTTGGATTACTTTACATATTCTTGACACTCATCCTTCAAAATTATATATTTTGTAAATTTGTTTTTCAAATCTTTCACTTGTCTTTACCTTTGTTTAATGTTGCTTTTATTTGCCTGTATCAGATTTGACATTTTGACATAATAATCAAGTCTGTTGATCTTTTCTGTTAGAATTTACATTTTTTGGATCTTTTTAATTTTTAATTTTGGCAAAAGAGACAGCAAAGATTACCATCTTACTACTGAACATGTTCAGTTCAGGAGTATTGATGCTGTCCATTTTGTGCAGCAAATCATAGAACTGTTTCATTGTGTACAACTGAAACTCCATGCCCAGAACACAACTCCGCATCTTCCTCCTACCCCAGCCTTTGGCAGCCACCATTCCACTTTCCGTTTCTGTGAGTCTGATTTGATTTGATTTTAGAGACCTCATGTAAGTGGAATCATGCGGTATTTATCTTTTTTGACTGATTTATGTCACTTAGGAAAATGACTTCAGAATTAATCCATGTTGTAGCATGTGAGAGGGCTTCCTTTAAATAGCCCATGGTATTTATATACCACATTTTGTTTATTCATTCTTCTGTTAATGGACATTGAGGTTGTTATAAATAATGCAGCAGCAAAAACAAACAAACAAACAAATAAACAATGCAGCAGCAAAGTCCTGCTTTGAATTCTTCTGGATAAATACCCCAAAGTGGAAATTGATGATCATATGGTAAATCTTTTTTTAATTTTTGAGGCACCTCCTGCTGCTTTCCATAGCTGTCACGCCATTTTGAATTTCCGTCAACAGTGCACAAGGTTTCCAGGTTTTCCATTTCCTTGCCAACACTTGTTATTTTGTCACAGTGGTCATCCTCATATCACATTGTATTTTGATTTGTGTATCTTTAATGATTAATGAAGTTGAGCATTTTTTCATATCCTGTTACCCATTTGTATAATTATATTTGGAGAAATGCCTAGTCAAGTCCTTTGCCCATTTTTTAAATCAGATTGTTTTTAGGAGTTCTTTATTTATCCTGGGTATTTCTTCTTGTTATATATCCATATATACATATAATGTGGAAATATTTTCTCCCGTTCTCTAGGTTGCCTTTTCATTCGCTTTCGTAACTTTGATTTTTTTGTCTCTTTTTGCTTTTGTTGACTGTGCTTTGGGTGTCATATCCAAGAAATCTTTGCCAAATTCAATGTCATGAAGTTTCTTCTAGCAGTTTTATACTTCTAGGTCTTATGTTTAGGGTATAACATAGGTGGAAATCTTATTTTTTACAGAGATAGCCCAGTCTCTTTTTAACTGTTCATTGAGGGTCAGTCAACCCTTTCTCTGACCGTGTGAAGTACGGTCTCGTCACCAAGTTCACAGGCACACCCGAAGTCTGTTTCTTGGCTCTTCCTTGAATTCCGTTTGTTTGCCTCCCTGAGTCAGCCACCAAAACAGTTTGTAACTTTATAGTAAGTCTTCAGTCTTAAAAAATTTAATTTTTGCTTTATAACAAGAAAGAAGTATGCATAATTTTTAAAATATTTTTTGAAGCTATCTATAAATGGAATTGAAAATTTACATTTGCTAAAAACATTAGTCTTCTATATAAATAAAATCTTGAAAAATAACACCTCAAAACTCATCTTTTAAAAAATTTTTTATTCTAATTTGTTACATATGACAGCAGAATGCATTACAATTCATATAACATATGTAAAGCACAATCTTTCATCTATCTGCTTGTACACAAAGTACATTCACACCATTTGTGTCTTTTTCATACATGTACTTAGGGTAGTGATATCCATCTTATTCCACCATCTTTCTTTATCCCCTTGCTCCTTCCCTCCCCCTCCTTCCCCTTTGCCCTATCTACAGTTTGACAAATCTTCCCCTGCACCCCCTCCCAATCTCACTATGAATCACCCTCTTTATTATCAGAGAAAACATTCAGCATTTGGTTTTTGGGGATTGGCTAACTTCACTTAGCATTATATTCTCCAACTTCATCCATTTACCTGCAAATGCCATGATTTTATTCTTTTTCATTGCTGAGTAATATTCCATTGTGTATATATTCCACATTTTTTAAATCCTTTCATTTACTGAAGGGTATTTAGGTTGGTTCCACAGTTTAGCTATTGTGAATTGTGCTTCTATAAACATTGATGTGGCTGTGTCCCTGTAGTATGCTGTTTTTAAGTCCTTTGGGTATAGACCGAGGTGTGGGATAGCTGGGTCAAATGGTGGTTCCATTCCCAGTTTTCCAAGAAATCTTTATACTGCTTTCCATATTGGCTGCACCATTTTACAGTCCCACGAGCAGTGTATGAGTGTGCCTTTCCCCCCTCATCCTCGACAACACTTACTATTGTTTGTCTTCATAATAGCTGCCATTCTGACTGGAATGAGATGAAATCTTAGAGTAGTTTTGATTTGCATTTTTCTAATTGTTAGAGATGATGAACATTTTTCATATATTTGTTGATTAATTGCATATCACCTTCTGAGAAGTTCAAAACTCATCTTTTTATAAGCCAGTTTGAGGGGGGAGAATAATGTTATTGAATAGTTCATATAAATCACATAGCACACAGTATTATCCCTCGGCTTCATCACTTCAGGTTTGTGTGGCAAACCACTGAAAAGACTAAAGCTAAATAAAATTGATTTGACATAAATTTTTTGTTCATGGTGTGTGAATGCCTCAGTCATTGTCTATGTAAGCTTTGAAACCTTGCTGGTTGAAAAAGAGTAAAGCTTTTTAGATGTAGACATATGATTGTATGTTATTTCCTTTTATGCATGCATAACAACATTAATATTCAGTCTATTATTTTCAAAATTACTTAAGTTATTATAATTAACTTTCAGGCCTGATATAGTAGTTCTTTTGAATTTTTAAATTTCTATCAAAGTAAAACAACTACCTTTAAGAGACAATCTTTATTTTAGAGATGGTTTTGTTCGTCATCACTTAGAGATATATATTTATACTGTTCACAGTGCCAAACCTGTGCAAGAGGATCAGGTAGAAAAACAATTTTTTTCCCACTAATTTCATCTTTGGGTTTTCTCTTCCCCTTCCTGAGCATTTAGTCTTCTTTCCTCCTTCAGGTTTCCCAGTGTGTTTCTGGTCTTCCCTGTGTGGAGCTAGTCACTCTAGAAAAGAGCTCTCTACTTCCTGCTCCTCTACTGGGACTGTTTGCAGTACCAAAGAGAGGAGGGTTAAAGAAACCAAAGCCAAAACAGTCACTCAAAAAAAAACAAATGAAGCAGCATGAATGAATGTATTCATGGATGGATGGGTGGGTGGATGGGTGGGTGATGGTGGAGTTTCAGAAGAGAAGTCTGAGAAGACATTTATGCAGGTCTCACGCTGTATGGGAGATGGTTTGTCCTGAGAAGGGGGCCTGTCAGGCAGACACTACCCCTGCTTTGCTACCGCAGTGTATCTCAACATGATGCTATTATTATCTTTCTCCTTTGGATATTTATCATGCTGGCTTGAAATCACATCCCTTTTTTGTTTGTTTATTTGTTCAAGACTGAAAGAGCATATTCCTTTTGTGGAACTATTGAATACATGGCACCAGATATTGTCAGAGGGGGCGATTCCGGACACGACAAGGTATGTTCTGTTTTTGATACTTCTCTCTATATTTCCATAAAATGTGCAGTGAGAATCCCGGTTAATAACTTCAGTGCTGTCCTTTCAACAGAGCCCTTTTTCTGGTGTTATCTTACTTCCTCCTGTTTTTCTGATTTGCTTTGTATACCAAACACAATATAAATTCTAGTGTTTTAGAGGAAGAAGATAATAGAAAGGTTAAAACATTCTAGATTTTCCTTGTTAAAGGTTTTATTGGTGAAAATTCTTTGGTTTTTAGAGTAACACTCTTATTAAAAAGTTGAGACCTTGAAACTAATTCTTCATATTCCATTAAAAGAGCCTACAGCTTAACCAAAGCACCAATTATGATTCCTGTTTTTTTTTTTTAAAAAGATGATTCTTTTTCTGTTGCGTAGGATCTTGATCTTTTAGGACACATCTGAACCACAACACAATGCAGAAGTGTCATGGAATGCATAAACTGTGTCCATGCTTCCTAAGAGTCACGCTGCTTTATATGAGACAGTGCTTTATTGGCATGATTAATTTCTTCTAGAAAAACATACAGAAACTAGTTGTGTGTACCATCACTAGTTAGTATTTGCTCTCTATAGGTTGTTGAGGTCATTAAAAAGGGATCACCATATTTTCCCAATTTCTGCCTTTAACTTTATAGAGAGATACTGATGACTTTGTTGATTCTCTCTCCAACAGCAATAAATATTTTGACAACTCTTGGAAGAAGGAAAAATCCTACATTCAATATAGCCTCTTTGTTTTCCTAACACTCTAAAAAGCTCAATTTTTTGGCCTCTTCACTTTACATACTTTTTTATATACAAAATGAAGATCATAGAAGAATCTTTCTAAGTAATTGTGTTAAAAGCCTAGGTCATTTTTCGTCCTTCCTGTATTAATGTGTAAAAATGTTGTTCAGTCTTTTTTAACACTTTTGCTTCATTAATAACTCTACCCAAATAAGAAATTCTGTCTTTTTTGTTCTCTATCTTCCCCACCCCCTCAGTCAGAGTGCCACATGTGCAATCCAAATAATCTAGTAGGAATCTTTGGTTTCTTTTCTAGAAAAATGACTGGTCACATATTCATAAAGCCACCTTCAGGTTTGAGTGGCATTGGTTTTAGGAACGTGGCTGGAAGTCGGATTGCCTTCTGTGTCAGCAGAAGAGTGTGGTTTTACATCCAGCAGCAGAATTTCGCAGGGCCCTGGCTCAGGTGGCTGGGGGGTGACTCGTATGGCTAAAGGAGCTCGTTGCTGCTGTGCCTTGCTCATGGTGTTCTTGGAAGCCATTGGGGAATTTAGTAGAAATTAAAAATGAAAATTATCACCTAAAACTAATGAAGCCAATTTTCACACAAGAAAAAACCTTGTATTACTTTTAGAATTTCTGCATACTTAAGGTCCAGAACACAGCAACTTAATAGATATTCTTCTTCAAACATAGAATATGCTGACATCTTAGAGTTAATTAAATGAGATGTTATATGCAAAATGCTCATCACCATGCCTGATATAGAAAAGGAACATTCAGGAAATACTTTTCCTCTCATGACTTCAGCCGCCCAGTCCTGTTTTATGTCAGTATTCTGTATTTTCTTTAAAAATAGCTCTAGGCTTATAATATTTGTGTCACTTCTCTGAAACTTTGACCTGGAATTTAGAAGCAGATAATTCAAAATTTTAACATCCAGTTAATATCTTTCGTTGGTGTGAGCTCATATATTCATCAGTTAGCTAAAATTTTGATCTGCCTAATTATAAAAGAACTGATTGAATATATCAAAATTCTTTAAGCCATGTATAATTCACTCTTCTCTCAATTCAGATAAATACATTCATTAATAGGTTTCCAATTTAGAATACATTTTATTTTTTATTATTTTAAATCTTTGTATCAGTGAAGACTGTCACATTTATGTGATAGATCCTAAGAGAATTTGATTTAGGAGGTCATGAAAAAATAACACCACTGGATGAGATTAAAACATTTTTTATCTTCTATTCTAAGGAATTTCATGAAACTCTTTGGAATAGAATTCTTAATAAAAATGTGGATTAGTGCTTTTTCCCCTATCATAAGCCCAAATATTTTACCTACTTAAAATTTTAAAAATTTACTTCACATTAGATTTTTTTAATTGTTAAAGTAAAGCTGTAACTAGTTAGGAAATAACTAAAATACTTTCTGCATTGGGGATACCTGGGTATTTGTTCTCTAAATGTATTTTTGCACATGCAAACTTAATATTTCTTGCCCAGAAGTTATGTACTAAATCTTTTTGTTAAAAATATTTTTCAGATACATTGTTTTATTTGATTTTTCTTAGGAAATATATTGTAGTTGTTAATTCTATAAAATTTTTTGTTTTATAGGCAGTTGACTGGTGGAGTTTGGGTGTTCTAATGTATGAATTACTAACTGGAGCATCTCCTTTCACTGTGGATGGAGAAAAAAATTCCCAGGCTGAAATATCTAGGTAAGATTTCATATAGAACACATTTATTATTTTCTCAAAGGAGCTGATCAAATTTCTGTAGTTAGGCTAATGAAAAAACATTTTTTACTAGGGATAAACAAAATGATGTTTAAGTGCTAAATTTTCATTTATATTCAATATGAGGATATAGATATATAGCTTTCTTATTTCTTTATATCTAATATGCAGAGTTGGATCTTAAGTCTCATAAGGATAGTGTAATAATTTTTATGACCTCAAATCATATTTAGCATATTGTCTTATACCTCTAGGTACATCATGCTTTGAGAAATTTAGCCCATAATCTCAGATGTGGAACACCTGTAAAGATTTAAATATCATGTATAATATATAATATGATTATATGACATGTAGCATGTAATTATAATGTAATGTCATATAATATTAATGTAATGTATAAGCTGTATATTATGTATATCAAATATAACCTATCTTAATGCTTCTTTGTCGATTTCATTGCAATATTTGCAGAATTGAAAATTTATACTTAATGGTTGATGGGTCTATTTTCCACTGTATAATGTAATTTCTCTGTGACTTTAATGTAAAGAAACAATGATGATATTTTTTCAGCTGAGGGACATCTGCTCAGTAGAAAGAATACCATAGAACTGCCCTCTCATAGGTTCTGATAGCATCATTCTGTTCTGTTCATTCTCAGCCAATATTACGGTTGTATTTTTGTTTGTAATTGTTTGATTAGTGTCTGTCTGACCTACTACATAGAAAGTACAGTGAGAGCAAGTGGCATATCTGATTTTTATCCTCATTACTTATGTATAGAATTCAGTAAATATTTGTGGAATTAAACAGGATAATGAACAAATGAGTGAATAGTGATAAACATTATGCTAATTACTAGTTGTGGTTTTTTTGTCCTGCTTTTCTTGAATTTTATAATATTGAGAACAGATTTGACATTAAAAATTAAAAGAGATTCCCCTTGAGATTCTACTTCCAACAAAGATGGAATGACAGAGAACAGTTTATATTCCTGCCTGAAACAATTTTAACAATGGGCAAAATATGTGGAACAACAGTTTTGAGGACATTGCACATCTGGCAATGAAGGACAGTGATCCCTGAGAGATGGGAAAAAAATGAGGTGATCCCAAGAGTGCCCTAGCTAATTGTCTTGAGAGAGTTCCCAGGCTTCAAGGCAGGCAGAGGAAACCCTCGGGAGAGTCGAGATGGAACTGAGAGTCCAGGGAGACCGACGCAGCTGGAGTTTACAGGCCATAGTGTCTGAGAAGAAAAAACTGCACATAGAGAAGTCCAGAGATTTACGAAGTATCCAGTCAAGCACTAATGAACACACACGAGGGAACTACTCAGTATAGGTTAAAATGTTATTTTTCTCCAAATGGACTTGTAAATTCAGTACAATTACAAAATTACAAGACCAGCAGTCCTTTTATATTTTTTGGTTGTCAATGGACCTTTATTTTTATTTATTTATATGTGGTACTGAGGATTGAACCCAGTGTTTCACACAAACTAGGCAAGTGCTCCACCACTGAGCTACAACCCCAGTGCTCCCTGACTTTTGGTAGAAATTGACAGCCCGATTCTAAATATTCGCAATGAAACAGAGGACCTAAAATAGCCAAATCACCCTTGAAAAAAAAAAACAGATCAAGACAGATTTCAAGACTTAGCATAAATATAAGACACTATGATGTTGGTATCAGGATAGACAAATGGTAAATGGAACACAGCAGAGAGTCCAGGAAGAGAACCATCCACATACAGGCAACTGATTTTTGACAGAGGTGCCTAGTCACTTTGGCACAGGAAAAAAAAAAAAAAAAAAGTTTTTTCAACAAATGGTGCTTTACATTGGTTACCCAGATGGCGAAGAATGAACTTCAATAAATACTCCAAACCATATTAAAAAAAACTTATTTCTCCAAATAGATTGTAGATCTACATGTAAGACCAGCAACTATAAAACTTCTGGAAAAAAACATGGAGGAAAAAAAATCTCTGTGACTTGGGATTAAGTAAATATTTCTTTGATATGACACAAAAGAATGGTCCATAAAAGAAACATTGATTACTTCATCAAAATTAAATACTTTTCTTCAAAACTGTTAGGAGAATGAAAAGACAAGCCACTGAGTGGGATAAAATTTTAAGTCATACATCTGGTAAAGGACTGCTATCCAGAATACAGAAAGAAATATGAAAACTCAAGGAAGCAAACAACCGCTTTATTATATAAAATAGGCAAAGGCTGTGAACAGACATTTCACCAAGAAGATCTGTGGGTGGCAAATAAACACAGGAGAAACTGATCAACATTAGTCTCTAGGGAAATGTAAATTAAAAGTACAGTGAAACACTACTGCACACTCCAGCCATTACAGATAGAGAGACTGACCACTCCTGGTGCTGGTAAAGAAATGGAGGAACTGAGACTGTCACACACTGCAAGAGATGTACAATGGTAGGACTTTGGAAAACAGGCAGTTTCTTAAAGTTGAACACAACCTACTAAGTGATCCATCCATTCTACTATTAAATAATTACCAAAGGGATTATCCTTTGCTATAAAATGTCTGTACAGAAACTTGTACATAGATGTTTACAGCAACTTTATTTGTAATAACCAAAAATTGGAAATAAGCCAAAGGTCTGTCAGCAAGTACACAGTTAATAGACAAGTTGTGGTTTATCCATATAAGTGGAGTATTACTTGGCAATAAAAATGTATGACCTGTTAACACACACAACATGGATGCATCTCAAAATAATTATGCTAATTGAAAGAAACTAGACAATATAGAATATAGCCTATAGTAACAGAAAGCAGATTAGAGGTTACCTGTGAACTGGGGTGAAGGAGAGCAGGAAAGATCACAGAGGAGCATGAGAAAACTTTGGAAGGTAATGGGCATGTTCATTATCCTGATTGTGACGATGGTTTCTCAGGTCTAGATAAAGGTCAGAGCTTTTCAAATGGTACACTGTGTGTGGGAAGTTTATTATTTATCAGTTGTACTTAAATGAAACTATTTTTCAAAATTAAGGTGTACCTTTTCCAGAAAAGGCTAGGAGGTAAATAATTTCTCAGTATTTCAGATTACTTAACACCAAAGTTAAGTGAGCAGAAATACCTTTTTAAAAATTTTTTTAAATTTAAAAGAAATTTGGCAGTTTGAAAATACCTCAAAATGACAGAAAACCTTGGCCATTGACCTGAAGAATTTGTATGCCATTGCAAAGTCATACCACGGTGGCAGGTGCAAAGGGTGGCCTTAGCATGGGAACATTAGAGGCTCCTCTGACCAGTCCTGTCTTTCTGAATCCACATACAAGTACAGCTTCTTTTTATAATCTTCTTTTCCACTGTAGGCCTAGAGAGAAGTATATTTCTCATAATGACAGTAATATTCTGAACTAAGTGATGTTAGAATTTAGATGGCTTTTATTCCCTTTATATCAACTGATTGACATTCTGGTTTAGAGAAAAGAAAGAACACCTGAATCAGGTTGTTTAAAACCTTTAAGAGCAAATAGATTTTTCAAACATTTAAATAGAATTTCTTCCTTTTGATCAGTTAATTATCTGCTTTATCATGTTAATAATTTGTTTAAAGCTTGGTTGTTAACCTGTGATCCTATGGGGGACTTTTTTGTGACTGGAATATACAAACAATGTGGCAACTGAATTATACTACACTACCTTTTCCTTTCGAGATAATCATTCTGATTATCTTTCCTGGCATAAACTCTTTCATAGTCTTCTTAAAATATGAATCATTTGGATAAATGTATCATTATCTTGTCTTCAGATATCTTGATTAGCTAAGACTTTTTCATTATTGAATTCTTCCATTCTTTAATTATTATCATTTTCCTGAACACGGCATATTTACTGTGTTTTTTATTTGAGATGCTTCAAAATAATGTATTATCTATGTAAACTACTTGCCATTATTATCTACAGGTGGCCTAAAATCAGAATAAAAATGTTTTGCTGGTTTATAAAATTTCAAAATATAATAAGAACTTCAAGAGAGTCCAGCCTTCTCCCTTCAGTTAGACCCTTTTCCTCCTCCGTGAGACTCCTTGGCTCGCACGGCCCTGCTCTGAGACGTTTTTAAGGAAACCTGTGTGCTGTGGAGCAGTCTAGCCAGTGGAGTTTTTCGCCTTTGCAATAAGCTGAAATTATCTTTCTCTAATCACTGCTTGTTAATCCTGATCCTGTCCTCTCAAAGATGTGAGGAATTCTCACATTGTTATAGGTGTTTGAAGATCATTTTATTCAGGATGGAACTCTTCAGTTCCTTTAAGTGTTCATTTGAAATCATTTCCAGTTCCTCGCGTTCTGGTACCCTTTTGGACAGATAGGAACTTGTTGATATTGGGGACTTGAATGGTTGCTCCTCAGCTTTTCTGTGCGTCTGTTTCGTGTTTTACGTGTGTGTAGCATGGGCTTTTCTTTCCTGGGTGTCTTCCGCTAGCTTTTCTTGCCTTTCTGGGTAGAAGTTCTAGGAACGGGCTACAGCTGCAGGGGAAGGACCCTCCTAGTCAGGGGAATTGGCTGCACATCAAGTGCTACACAAATGAAGTGATGTGTGGGCCTGCCCTGCTGTCACTTCCTGCCACTTCACAGTTCTCAGTCTGTCTCTGGCATTCCTTGTTTGAACATTGTCCATCTCACGTCTGGTCCTCTTACCACGCAGTTAGGCCTGCAGTTGTGCTGTCAATACAGATTGTATGCAGAATTTTTTTCTTGTCTTTCCCTAAACAGTATGACCACTGTCTTCACAGCGTTGACTTTGTATTAGATATTTTAAGTAACCTAGAGGTGATTTATAATGTGTGGGAGCATGGCATAGGTTATATGCAAATTCTATGATTTTATATAGGAGCTTGAACATCCTCAGATTTTGGTGTTCACGAGAGTCCTCGGACAATCCACTGCTGATACTGGTGGATGATCACAGTAGTATTAGAAGAGCTCTCGTTAG